GTGCAGGAAATGGGCTACAGGTGCCGCATTCCCCAGGTCAAGCCACTCTTGAACAAGAGACTGCGTCAGAAGCATCTCGCCTGGGACTGCTGCTGAGTGGTCCAAAGTTATGTTCTCTGATTACAGTAAATTTTGCATTTCCTTTGGAAATCAAGGTCCCAGAGTCTGGAGGAAGAGAGGAGACACAGAATTCACATTGCTTGAGGTCCAGTGTCAAGTTTCCACAGTCACTGGGGTGCCATGTCATCTGCTGGTGTTGGTCCACTGTGTTTTATCAAGGGCAGGGTCAATGCAGCTAGCTATCAGGAGATTTTGGAGCACTTCATGCTTCCATCTGCTGAAAAGCTTTATGGAGATGAAGATTTCATTTTTCAGCACGACCTGGCACCTGCTCACAGTGCCAAAACCACTGGTAAATGGTTTACTGACCATGGTATTACTGTGCTCAATTGGCCTGCCAACTCTCCTGACCTGAACCCCGTAGAGAACCTGTGGGATATTGTGAAGAGAAAGTTGAGAGACACAAGACCCAACACTCTGGATGAGCTTAAGGCCGCTATCGAAGCATTCTGGGCCTCCATAACACCTCAGCAGTGCCACAGGCTGTTTGCCTCCATGCCACGCCGCATTGAAGCAGTCATTCATGCAAAAGGATTCCCGACCAAGTATTGAGTGCATAACTGAACATGATTATTTGAAGGTTGGCGTTTTTTGTATTAAAAACACTTGTCTTTCATTGGTGGGATGAAATATGCTAATTTTTTGGGACAAGCATTTTGGGTTTTCATGAGCTGTATGCCATAATCATCAGTATTAAAACAATTAAAGACCTGAAATATTTCAGTTGGTGTGCAATGAATCTGAAATATATGAAAGTTTCATTTTTATCATTACATTATGGAAAATAATGACCTTTATCACAATATGCTAATTTTTTGAGAAGGACCTGTATTTGGAGTATTCCCCCCAAACTTTAAGCCAACTTTTACTTTTTGATGCATCTTGTCGGGTTTTTGTTCCCTTATCCCTCGTTTTCTTTTTTTCTGCATTGTAGTTGTTGAGCCAGCTGAAAGGAAACCTGGAGGAAGAAAACCGTCACCTGTTGGACCAGATTCAGACTTTGATGCTGCAGAACCGCACACTTTTGGAGCAAACCATGGAGAGCAAGGACCTGTTTCACGTGGAGCAAAGACAATACATGTACATTTAATAAAACACACATACCTATTTAAAAACTCCAAAGAACTCTTAAAACCAAACGGACAGCGATGCTTATTTGGTTTTGATGAATTAATCTCTATTTTGTGTTTTTTCTTCTTCTCTTTGTGCGATCTTTAGAGATAAGTTGAATGAGCTGAGGAGACAGAAGGAGAAGCTGGAGGAAAAGATCATGGACCAGTACAAATTCTATGACCCTTCACCTCCACGCAGGTAACGAGGCACCTTCATCTAGTTGCATGGCTTGGAAAAGAAAGCAGTAAAAGATGTTGGATTTTTTTAAAGTAGTTCAGTGAGGCTCAGTTTTCTTGTTGGCTGTCTGAGATGAGGCAGAAAACACTGCATCCTAAGAGAACTCCTTCAAATATTAATGATCTGCAGAGCCTCTATACTGCTGCATACTGCAACACTTAGTGTAGTGGCAATATGAATTTAGATATTTCTATCTCTGTCCCACACCCTGCCTTGCCTTTTTTCTTCAAAGACGTGGCAACTGGATCACTCTGAAGATGAAGAAGCTGATCAAGCCAAAGAGTCGGGAGAGGATGCGCTCCCTCACGCTGACTCCGTCTCGTTCCGAGCTCGGAGACGACTTCCTGTTGTTTCCTCAGGACAGCCAGGACAGCTCGTCAATCGGCTCCGGCTCCAACTCGCTGGACGACACGCTTACACAGAAGAGAAGCAGCAGTGAGTACAAAGGAAACGCGCATACATACAGATTCAGACCCAAGAGTAAGAACAATTCGTTTCCTGCATCATTTTGTGCTGAACCTTCTTCCCTGACACTCTGTATGACCAGGAACTCTGTGGGTTCACACAGTTTGAGTAGCCGAATACGTCTTTAATTCCTTAACTGCTCCTTTGCTTCTTTATCTCTCTGTGTGAAGGGAGGAGAGGGCAGCAGTCCCATGCACAAGTGCAGGGCTCCTCCAATGGTATGCCGTGGATGGGAAGGGTGGGCGGGGCTTATGACCAAACTGTCATGTCTTTTGGGCATGTTTGTGTGAGTCCATCGTCTGCGTGACTCTACAGTTGTAGAGGCTACAGTTGAGCTGTACAGCAAAACAAGGTTGACTCCACATCTCAGACCTGGTTTAAAAAAAAAGGGACTAATTTCATGTTTGAAACACAATAAGGTGCACTGGATTTCAGGAACCTTTTAACTAAAAATGTACCATTATTGATTAAAAACTTATTTTCCTGCAAAGAATAATCAGTTTTAAATATTTTATATTCTGCCTTACTGGATGTTGCCACTTGTTTGGTTCCATAAACATTGTTGCTCCTCTTCAGCTGAATTTAGGTTGTATGCAGATTTCCAACTCACTATGGGAAAGCACGCTTCTTGTAACCAAACTTGTACGCTAAAGTAGCAGATTTAGAGGAAGGTCTGCTTTTGTAGAGAATTAAATCAAATTGTTTGCAAAGCTCCTTTTCATTTGTGCATGCTTTCCAACAAATTCATGTAAACATGTTGAAAGGTCTGAATAGGAAAAGAAAATATATCGGCAGCATTAGAATGTGAAGATTGCAAAAGGAGACCCTATTTTACATTGTTCCAGGATTTTTACTAATGCAAAAAAAAAGCCAGAATGACAGAAAACAGAAATATATAATTACATCAATATTTGTCATTGTTTTATTATTTAAGCCCTCTTTAAGCCATAGCCACACTTTTTGATAATCCCACTTTTTATTTTATGTACCGTATTGCCGCTGTATAAGTCGCATCAGTCCAAATATTTCTAATAAAGTGGGGAAAAACAACATTAAGTCGTTTTGCCGTATATGTGGCATCTGTTATGCGTCACCGCTGACCTCCTGGAAACGTGGGATGGTGTTGTGCCAAAAATCAATTGGCTGCCAAATGGCGGCCGCAGGAGCGTGCACGGGAGGACTTTAACAAGAATTTAACAAGATTTAACACCTAAAAACAATTATTTATTTGCTTGACATTATATTAAAGGTGTGTCTCAGTTGAACTTTTCCTTAATAAATGCACTTTAATGGTCAAATCAGCTGCATTTCTCCTGGGCGGTGCGGCAAAATGCAGCTGATTTGACATTTGCTCCAAGATGAATGTAGCTTGTTGTGTCAAGCCAAGTGCCTCATTAATAACCTCTTTTACCTGTTAATGAGACACTTGGCTTGCTGTATTACTCGAGGGCCCTTTAATGGCTGAAAATGGTGGTGTTCAATATTTTCCATGTCAGAATGAATGAAATCATCAGATCTCAGGCAAAAATTGGGGGAAAAAAACATAAATACGTCACTTCGCTGTATAAGTCGCAGGACTTGCAAATGTATGCAAAAAAGTGCAACCGATACGGCGACAAATACGGTATTTAATTTTCATTTTCAAATAAAATCATTTGTTGTCTCGAACACCATGAGACACGTTGCAAAGTTGTTGGTGTATTTTTGTCATAAAAAGATTCCAAAAACTTGTCGGAGCCAATTCATGAATTTGTAGCAATTGGAGTTGGACACTAACATCAAAGCAGTAGTGAAGTAAGTTAATAACAAAGGTACGGTTTAGTTGTGCATGACAGATTTTTTTTAATACGTAGTTTTATTTTGTAGGACAGAGGATCAAAATTCAAGCTGGATCTAGTGCACCTCGTTCAGATCAAACATTAAAAACCATTTTACCAATATTATCCCCTCGGGTCTGTATTTTTTAACCTTCCCCAGCACACCTGAGTTACCAACATGTAAACCTGCTGATCTGTGCAGTTCACCTGTTGGACAGTAACACGCTCTATCATAGCATCAGTGCTATTAAATGGTGCAATGAATCGTCGCTCATGTCCAGTTATTACCAGCGTTCAGCCGTGTTTGTTCAAGTATCATAGAAGATTATTTCCCATAATAAGCCCTCTAATTAATAACGTCAAGTTACCAGACACTGACATACATCTGCATAGAATATTTCTGTTTAGACTGGGATATTAAACAAACCTCACTAAAGATGTTAAACTGTGGCCTTTTATTGTTTGTTTTGGGAACGCTGCAGTCTTCCCTGAACCCGTTAATACACTTCCCCTTCCTCCAGTTTCTGGATTGCACCCTTTAATATTTGTTGTCTTCCATGTCTCATCTTGTTGTGGTCACGTGTCGTTGTTGTCGTGTACAGTATGTGAAGTTTTGGTATCAGTTTGTGATGTGTACATATTTGAAGCCCGTTATCACGAGAATGAGGTTTGTCTGCGCTGTGTGCTGGTAGTAGGTGTGTGAGTGTGTATGCATAAAGTGTGCATCGTTGTTTACATACAGTTTGGTATTTAATGTAGAAGTCTTCCCCCAAAAATCTGAGTCTGATTTTTAGTAAGTCGTTAGGTAAAAGAAAATAACATTTTAGGTGGTATTTTGTTTAGAAATGTGAGCATTTAAGAGAATGACTTTTAAAAACTCAGTTGTGTAGATAATGGATCTGAAACTGCTCAAACTTCCCAACACAAACGTAAAAGACAACTTGTATTATTGTTGTAAGGCTTTATTTTTGTCTTTCAACACTGCCAATGCATTAAACGAGTCTAGTATTTGTACTGATTGGAAAAACTTAAACTTGACAATCTTTTTAATTAGTTTCTTATATTTTAGGGGTTTGCTTTTTGTTGTCCAGTTGCGTGTCCTGAAGCTCAGTTCTCTCCCCTGGCACCAGTTGTGCAAATGTTAACCACATCCATGTTTTGCCCTCTTATTTTCTTTGTCCTCCTCCATCTCTCTTGGCGTGCTCTGTCACTATTCCTTCTGTCTGTCTGTCTGTCTGTCTGTCTGTCTCTGGCTGCGCTCTGACAGCTATGAAAAGGTTGCCTTTCATGAGGAACAGATCCAAGGACAAAGACAAGGCCAAGGCCATCTACCGACGCTCTATGTGTAAGACCTCCGTTAGCCGTCACCTTAGCCTTTCTCTTCCTCTTTTTGAAGGAGAAACGAAGGAGCAGTCACTGATGTCAGGGTGGTGGCAGTGTGGAGCTTCATGTGACTGTCAGAGCAGCCCTGATTGTTTTTATACCACATAATGTCTGGTGCTGTTTTCTGATATTTATTTAGATGTCTGCACTAAATTTAACAAGTCCTATTTGATTGTGTGCCCTCCATGCTGCAGCTGGTGACATCAGTGACTTGTTCTCGATTCTTTCCTAATAGCCTTTATCACCGTCTCTGTCATATATCCTCTCCCATCACTTTTTTATGGTAGCCGTGAGGTGTAAATGAACAACATAAAAATAAAAAAAAATCACAACAAAAACGCAACATTTGAAAAAACAGAATTACATTTGAAAAAATTAAATTACATTTGAAAAAACAAAATTACATTTG